GCAAGTTTTCCATGAATACAGACAGTTTTCTAGTCTCTCCAGGAGAATGTTGAGATAGTACACTGAAACAACCACGACCGTCCCCGTTGAAATCTTTATCTTTTCGCCATTCATGACCATCATTCGACACTAAATAATCCTTGCATCTTCCAGATGCAAGGATAGATAACCTACAAGGCAATATAAGGTAAATCCAACTGCTACTTGTGACTACCGCTTCAGCTGATAAGTGTTTCTCAGACTGTGCCCCACAGATTTCACGGTTCGGCAATGGGGCGACAAACCTCTGCGCCGAAGGTTACACAAATATGCATCCTAATTGTTAGTTGAAAAATTATTACATAAATAAAGTGTTGTACGCAATCACATGACATACCATTTATGGCTGACAGAGTTTGGTGGATATGCTACAAAAATCATCTTTCACTTATCACTTACAAGTCATTTGTAGGGAGATCAACACAACGTCCTGGAAGTCTTAAGGCTACAAAATTGGTAAATTATATCGTCGATTACCTAACTACGTCAAATCAAGTGTTGAGTTTATGTAATGCCGAAATAGTTCAGGCTACGTGTACAGTGAACCGAAAGAAGTAGTTTGGGAGTGGGGGAGCCATCTTCAGATCCACAAAAGTTCGAACAGATGGGAATCCTATTTTAATTCATCAGACTATAAGTGTTTCGTGTTTTCTTCAAATCAACACTTTTAACCAAGATTCCACTGAATCCGAAAGCTACAAGATTGTCCAATCGGCCAATAACTTCTTTTGTGGGCCAGACTGAGGTATTTCGAAGTGAAAAGGGGAAGTCTAACGTAAAAATCTTAAGTTAAAAAAATACCTGAAATGATTAACACTTTACAGATATACCAAAGAAGCCTATACACAAATATTAATAATTAATGCTGAATCAGCATCGTAAACTGTACGTGTTTAGGTAATCATTAAACCAATTACAGAACGGATGTTACCGTGTGCTTCGTATTCAATTCGTACCGGAGGCTCTTTCACTGTGCGCAAAGTGGCCGAAGCTGATCACTCACCCCCGTACTCAAGGCATGGAATTTAGGCACCAAGGAAAAGTTACATTTATATCCCAAACTTCTTCAATCTCACAGCCATTTATGTCAGGAGGGTCGGATTAGACCGGAAGGTTTTACTTTCCCAGCCTCACCGTCCGTCTTAACTTAAAACCGGCGTTGTCTTATTGATGGCGTAGATAAATGAACGATCTTACAATGAGCGTAATATGGAACTGGGATGGGCAAGACAGTAAATGACTACACGAGAACATATACACAAGGTCGATACAGGTTGTGGGCCTAAACTGGATTGAACTGCTTCATGACAGCGTCTAATGGCAATATTTGTTGCAAACGGTGTTGAAATTTTAGTAAATAATTACTCAACTGATTATTTATTCACTTGCCTAAATAGTTGTTAGTAATCTTTCATGAAATAGTATTAGGGTAATCAAATCAAAAAGAGTATGAGATGGAATGAGCATGGAACATGTAGATAATAGAAAAGCACAAATTATTTTAGCAAAAAATCTGAAGACTTGGGCGTAGATGGGAAGATAATATTTAAATGGACCTTAAAACAATATGGTGTAAGAGTGTAGACTTTATTCATCTGGTTCTACGTAGCATCTAGTGGTGGACTGTTGCGAAAGCCGTATGCACGGGATTTACTGAATAGTTAAGCGACTATTTTATTCTCAAGGATTCTGCCCCATGGAGGTATTAATTCAGCAAGATAAATACGAATATTCTTTCTTAATACACGTAGAATTTATTTAATTAGTGGCAGATGTGATGATAATTATATTAGTATTAAAGCTAGATTCCAGATATTCCAAGAATATACCCAACAATTATGTATGCGCAAAGCGTTTTAGAGGCTAATAAACCTCAAACTCCCATAGCAAATCGCGACAGTATAATACATAAAATTATAATTTTACCTGTTGTTTTGTTCTGTGTGAAACCTGGTCAATAACGTTAAGCGAAGAACACAGATTGAGGGGGTTTGAAAACAGGGTACTTGGAACAATATTTGAAGTGACGAAAGGGTGCAGAAAACTGCATAATGAGAAGCCTATAATTTCGGCCCTTCACCAGGTATAATTAGGATAATCAAATCAAAAAGGGTGGATAATGTAGCGCGCATGAGGGAGATAAGGGATGTGTATGAAATTTCGGTCTACAGATTCGAAGGAAAGGAACCAATCAGAAGACCTAGAATAAATGTTAGGATGGATGTTAGAATAACAGTGTGGGAAGGAGTTGATTAGATTAATCTGGCTCAGGATAGGGGCCGATGTTAGGCTCTTGTGAACATGGTAGTAAGCCTTTGTTTCCATAAAAGACGACGAATTTTTTGATCGTCTGAGAGACTGGAACTTTGGTGGAGAAACCTGTCTGAAGGCGTTCAAACGGGAGATCGAGGAGACGGAAAAATAACATCAAGACAGATTTTAAGAGTCAGGTTCCATGTTCAAATCTTGGCACGGATACCTGCTATTCTGACTAAATTGTTTCAATATATTCCTCAGTCCCTCCAGACAAATGCCAGAATATCTTAATTGGATCACGACCACTTCCATCCAAATCTTTTTAAATTCGTCAATCACCAACCAATCATTCTTCCATTCGTCTTTAAGAGTGTATAATCTTAACAATTGAAAGTTCGTTAAATAAATAAGGAAATAAATACATTAAAGAAGAAGTATTTTCCATCGTGTTCATGTTATCTAAATAACACACAGTTATCATAATGATATACATGTTTCGGCTCTACATGTATCATCATCAGTACTTACGTACAGTCATACCGAATGTTTGTTTACAATTAAATAATACAGATTTTTATTATTACAGTACTCGAACAAACTGTCCGTGTATGTAATATGCTATAAACGTGGCCTCTTTACATCTGTAGCACTTTAAATAGAAAGGCATTTTCAGTCAATCAGTCGACA